AGCGTCTGGAGCTGATCATCTCTCATTTTTCGCCGCTGGCCTCGCGCCGCGCGCCCTCTTGACACGAGCTAGTTCATGCCGACGCGCAGCTCTACGCGAGCGCGTTGGTCCCCGCGCGACGACGCTGTCGCGCGGCGCGCGCGTGCGCGTCGCTGACGGGATGCCGCGAGAGCGAATCGGGGGGACCTTTTTCGGCGCAGCAGCGCCCGCTGGATCAGTTCTGCGTGTCTCGCAGTCTCTACGGGTTGCCTACGCGTGGCGCTAACAGACCACATTCTCGGTTACTCACGTTTCGCGCATCTGGTGACCGGAAAGCTGCTCGAAGACCCGAGAGCGATTCGCGAGCATTCGCTCTTCGGCGGCATCTGGGCCACCCTGCGGCCGCCGCACGTGTCCAGAGGTTGGTGAACATGTCATACACTGTCCTTGGCCCCTCCGAAGCCCCCACGCGCGCGCGCGCCGCCGCCGCCGCCGCCGCCGCCGCCGCCGCCGCCGCCGCCGCCGCCGATGATGATGACGACGACGCCGGCGAATTTAGACGCGCCACTGCGCACAGACCGTCACATATGATCCCTCAAACGATCGCAGCCATTGGCCATGCTCGAAGACGTGCTTGACGTTGAGATGCGCGCCTCGAGCCAGGGGGCCCAATTCCATAGCCCCTTGGACACGCGCGCGGACGACCGCGTCGACGCGCGACAGCACTTTTGTTAGCCGCCTTAGTCACGGCAGGCTCGGGCGAGCTCACAGGGATCCTATAGAGCCCGCACGCGTATCCGGAGACGCCAATGTCGTCCAGGGAGGCCTCGTTGGAATTCGGCCCCCAAATAGTGTTATTTAACTAGGACTACAGTAGTAGCAACGCGCCGCTGGCGAGAAGTACTAAAGGCATGAAGAAATTTGTATTTGAGAGCTTAGCGGCCATGCTTGTGGTATATCCAGCCGTTATCGCGCTGCGTACACCGACTCGACAACTCGTAGCGCCAAAAGCCTCCGCGAAGGCAGCGGTCGCGTCAGCGACTCTCGACTCAACGTTAGCTCGCGCGCCTCTGGACCCAAATTGTCTGGTTTCGGCCAAGGGCATTGACTACGAACCGCTGATGGAACAGCTGCGGATTGGCGACTATATGGCGGCGGATCAGACGACACGCGATGTCCTGATTGAGATGGCCGGTGAGGAGGCAATGAAACGTGGTTATGTTTATTGGACGGAGGCCCGTCAGCTTCCCAATGAGGACCTTGCGACAGTCGAGAATTTGTGGCTGCACTACAGCGATGGAAAATTCGGCTACACCGTCCAGAAGAACGTTTGGCGTCTGCAGAAGGGCGTATTTGATAACTTCTGTGACAAGATCGGATGGACTACAACCGACGAAATCACTGGCCAGCCTCGAAAGCGGCGCTGGTTCGGCGACTCCGAGTTTTTCTATAGTTTAGATAAAGCCCCGAAAGCCCACCTCCCGCTCACGTCCGCTCTCCGTGGCACCCAGCTCCTTAAAGCCCTCCTCCAACATCAGGTCTGGGAAACTGAAGAATGGAAACGTGACCTGCCTGAGCTCTCTGCTTGACTCTGCCTGAGCTCTCTGCTCTCCGCCCCGACCTTGAGAGTAGTTAACTATCACTTCACATGGTGTGGCACAGCAATGGTCGACGCTGCGCAGTTGTGTTGAGTCTGGGTGGAGCAGAAGTGTGACATCGACGAACGGACAGCGGCCCACCGCCGGAGTCCAAGCGCCCCTGAGCCCTGGGCGTGCCGGGAAAATACGACACCGGGACTGGAGTGAGGGGCCAGATAGGCTGCGAGTAAGCGCGCGCCCTCAGACGCGGGGGTGAACACTAGAAACCCAACGAACCTGAGTTTGCGACCTGGCCCCCCTCTTAGTCGCCCTTAATAAGAGCCCCGCGCCTGGCGCCATCTCTGTCCAGGGGGCCCGTAGGGTCCGTGGGGCGGCGGCGGGTGCGAAGCAGATCGGGTGGGGCCTCTTCCGGGCCGCCGCGCGGCCGGACGCGGCGGCTCATACCGTAGTGACTGAGACTACTGAGTCGACTCAGTCTCAGCATGGGGTGGCTTGGGGACTATGGGTGCTCAAATACCCGGTATGGGCGATGCGGGACGGGTATATACCGGTATATACCGTCGGTATGGTAAATACCCGGTATATACCGGTATTTTTGGAGTACCCCGACCCCTCTACGGTCTCCGAGGTCCCGGCTCCGCGTCGAGCCACCGCGCGCCGCGCCGGTCCCTCCGCGGCACGCACTTGGCGACGCAGCTCGCATGCTCCGGTGGGCTTACTACTCTTTACTGGCGCGCGCGACGGCGGGGTGGGGCGCCGTCGTCGGACTCGGTGTCCGAGGGCGGCGCGCGCGTGCGCGTGCCGCCGCGTCGCGCGCGCGTCTTGCGCAGGTAGCGCCAGTTCCCGGGGACGGGAGGGGCGTCGGTGTCGGCGTAGTAGTCGCCGAGGGCGACGCCGTGCTTGTTTGGGGGGCCGGGCTCCCAACTCACGTCGTAGTTGTACTTCGACGCGCGCGGGTTGTGCTTGACGATCTTCCCGAACATGAAGGTGAGATCGTCGCAGCAGTGCACGAGGTAGATGTCGCCCACGGCGATGACGTCGTTGAGGAGGAGCGTGGGCGGGCTCGAGAGCTCGACGGCCTCGAAGCCGTCGGGGACGTGGTAGTCGTCGAGGTATACACGGGGGTCGTCGTCGTCGTCGCTGTCGTCGTCGCCGGCGACGTCGTCGTCGTCGTGCGCGTGTCAGGCTCGCCGCGGCCGAGCCCGGCAGCCGCGGCGTACCCGTCTACGGGTCGCCCAAAAGCAAAATACCCGGTATGGGAAAACGGGCCCGGGTATATACCGGTATATACCGCCGGTATTTTACCATACCGGTATATACCCTCCGAAATACCCGAGCGCCCATATTGGGGACCGCTGGATTTCCCGGGGATGATTAACGAGATAGTAAATTCCGACACGGGGAGGCAGCCTAGTGAAGCTGCCCTGCCGTGTGAGGGTGAACTATCGAGGTTACGCAGTGGCGGTACACCGGCGTCTCTGTTATCCTCACGTCACCTCATGAGCTGCTGCTATCCTCACGTCACCTCAGCTGCCGTAGTATACGGGGGCCGGGGCTACTGGACGAACGGGCAGAGGATCTGCCTCACTAGGTCCAGGAAGACCCTCCGTCTATTACAGTGCGGGAGGCAACTATAACAGGGTTAGAAAGTATAAAGGAGGGGAAGGATATTGGGTGGCTCTGTACCAGCGAGCCACTAGGGAGATACAAAACTCTCTATCTCTCTAGTGATCGAGACAACAACCACAGTTAGCCTACCCTGGGAGGCGTGGTGGACGGAGGCGTCCATATTCGGGGTCACAGTGGCTGGGGCTGCCCAACCATCTAGGCAGACGAATGAGCGTCTCAGCATAGGAGGATAGCACAGTCCCGAGTTAGGGTAGGAAACTCGGAGGGCACTTTCTGCACTTTTAAAGAGCTAGCACTCCCCGCCCGGGCGAGCCGCTCCCTGGGCAAGCCTGAGCATCCTGGCGGTTGAGGGGCAGCTCTGAAACCACCCGCGCTACCTCGCCCAGAACCTCCCCCCTTGCCTCGGACGGGCCCCCAGGGCACCCAAAACGCCCCCGGGGCGACAATAATGGGCCGGCGGCTGGGTATTTCCCGCGTTCGGCGGGGGGGGGGTCCACCGAGGGAGCTTGGGTTCTCTGCAGCTAGCAGGTGCAGACTCTCAGGGCGCCAACTAGCCGCACCGAACTTCCCACGGGGGAGTTCGACGCCCTTGGTCGGAGCCTTACGCACCGCCCGGATCTCGGCACTGTATCTCCTCCAGGGTCTGTGCAGATGTCTCGTTCGAATCGGCTCAAAGATACGCAAGAGAAAGGCAGATGAGTGGTTGTCCGTGAACTTTTACTTTCGTCGAGTTGCAACTTTGTGAGCGAGGGCTGTGAGGGCACGCTGTGCATCAGAGTCTGGCAGCTTAGAAAGTGCATCAACAGCCAGCTCGGCTTGCACTAGGGCGAGGTCCCTGGTTTGCTGCACGCCTTCAGAGCGTGAGACTATTTCAATTGCCGTATCCACATCACCAGCGCGCTCAAATTTGCGTTTTAGTATAGTCTCAAGTGCTGGTGAGGTTCGCGCTGCGAAGATGGTTGGCGCCTACATGACAATTCCACTAAGACTGAATTGATCTGTGACCAATGCAAGTGTTAGACCGATCCTCGAGCATCGGCACGTTTTCTCAGAGAACGGATCGATTCAAGTTCCGTGACGAAACACGATTCATTATCCTAGAAAACACAGGTCGATGCCGTGACTAGACCCATCTGGAGATCTGCAAGTGCTGGTTTGCCAAGTTCTAGATCTGATGCCTCGAAGTCGAGGGCGTCATCAACGAGCTGGAACGCAAGGCCGACGTGGCGGCCATATGCAAACGCAGCATCACAGTTAGCCTGGGTCTCGTCCTCAAGCAAAGCTGCGGCGCGGCATGCATTGGCCATGAGACTGCCAGTCTTGTAGAAACTCTTGTGCAGGTATGCTTCAAGCAAGGTGTGCGTGTCTGATGAGTGACTTTCTGGTCGCATCTGTACAATCTCGCCACGGACAAGGTGCTCAATGACGACAGATATGAGCTCAACGACAGCGAGATTTTCGAGCTTCGCAAGAGCCACACAGGCTCGCGCAAGAAGGAAGTCGCCCGCAAGGACAGCAATCTTATCACCAAATTTTGCTGACACTGATAAGCACCCACGTCGCACATCAGCGCCATCGATGACATCATCGTGGAAAAGGCTTGCGGTGTGAATGATTTCAATTATTTCTGCAAGTTTACGTTGGCGAAGGCTGCGCCCGCGCCCCTTCCGGAATGCACGTGCGGTAAGTAGGACCATTGTCGCGCGGATTTTCTTCCCCCCACTGTTACTCCCTGCAAAAAGGTGAGTCGCCGCCTCACCAAGAACGGGCACCTCAACCTGTACGAGATCGCGCATATGCCTTGACAAAGAAGACCTGTCACACCAAGACAAAATTTACCAACATCACTACTGCAGGCGATATTAACGACATTGGTACACTGAAGATGACACTTCAGCTGCAACAAGCGAAAAAGGGTCTGCGCAGCCCAATTCATCAAGTTTAGTGTCGAATATGCCACGGGGTGCGCTGCAAAACTCACATCGGTATTCCTCAGATGTTGGCGTCCAGCGCCCAACAAAATCGGGGGCGCGATCGTCAACTAAGGCCAAATGACGGATCGCTTCGACCACGAAAGTGTCCACGTCGGCATTTACCTCGTAACTTCGTGCGCCATCTGAAAACTGGCGTTGTGACGACCAAAGGAAACCAGCGTAAGCCCGTGACCCTGCTGAAATAACGTGCCGACGCGAAGTAAACGACATCACACTCCGACCCAAATTCATGAAACACCACATGAAATCCCGACCAATAATTTTCAAAGTGCTACTAATGGCGGGGATGAGTAAGATACGGACTTTACTCACTTACCAATCAACGGACCAAGTTGCAGTGAAATGTATCGCTCGGCTGAAACGTCGTCTTTTGCTCGAGACGATGTGGTTGGCCGGCGGCGCGGGGCTGCGTCCGGGGTTCGGGGCGCCCGAAGGTAGTACACTCTCGCGGCTGCCGGCCGGAATCAGGGCGACGAGCGCGTGGTCTGAAAAGTGTACTACCTTCGAGCACCCAGAACCTCGCCGCGGGGACCGCCTCGCGCGCGCGGGAGAGAGAGGGAAAAATGATCTCAGCTTCTGCGTGTTCCCGAGACGAGCGGGCTGAAGTTCTGGGATGCCCGACCCCGAATTCCCACTGCAAAGTGTGCTCAGTTTCTCTCCCCCTGGCCTGGAACATGCCAAACCCAGCATCAGAGATCGTGCGACCATCATCGACGACGTCCAACCACTTTTCGAAAGTACAAGACGCCTACGGCATCTTGCCCCTGCCGGGGGGGCTTGCCTGCGGCGCGGCGAGAGCGCGCCCTTCGGGCGCGCTCGCGCGAGCTGAGCCACTCATTCCCGTGTCAATGCTTCTCTCTGCACCGCTCGCGCGACGACAGCCATTTAATTTCCGTACGGCGGGGGAACCGGCACGCACAACTCACGCATATATATATGGAAACTACTAGGTTCAATAAGTTAATGTTGCGTTCCGGCCAACGATTGGTAAGTGTTACTTGGTTCTTGACTTTGGCAATGAATGGTTGCGCTGCCAAGACGGCGTTACCGCCTTTGAGATGCAACAAGCATCAGCCAAATCGGTGACCGCGCCAACGCGCTGCAGCCCGCCACCAGCGTGCACTGTGCCCGGCGGCATGCTCGGCGGCGGCTGCCGCACGCGGCCGCCGCGCCGGGGGCCCGCCGGTGGGACCGGCTGCGTCGGCGGCAGACCGTCGTCCGGTGACGAGTCGGAGATCCCGATGTCGCGGATGTCGGGCCCGATGAACGTGTCGTCTGCCTCCGGCCAGTCGTCCGCGTCAGCGTCGCTGTCGTAGGTGTCCGCCGCCGGCGGCGCGGGCGGGCCGATCCTCGAACGCTGGTAGTGTAGCGTACTGTACCAGAAGACCGCAGCCTGCGTCGGGACGCGCGCGCGTTGCCCAAGAAGGCTGCGAGGCTGTGTTTGGAAGCTTAGAGACGCCTCGATTCACGTGCTAGTGGGAAGGGGCGTCAGCGGAATGGGCGTCGAGGCCCCTGGGCCAGATGCCGCCGCTCCTCGAGATCGACATCTTTCCCGAGGGCGATTTCGCTGGCGTTCGCGGGGGCCGTGGTCAGCGAAATCGCCTCCATCGTGCTCATCCAAAATCCGGACCATCGTGGGGTCCGTATCCTTCTCGCCAGGGATTGGAAGGGTACTTGGCTCGACGCGCCTCTGTAGCGGGAACTGTCCCTGTGTCGATTCACCCAGTCATGGGCTGTGCAAACGCTAGACTCAGTAGCTAGCAGTGCGTTATGGAGCTTAGATGAGAAGCCGCAAGCTGGGGTGTCAATGAACACTGCCGCAGTTGACACAACAAAATCCAACTCAGATACTGTTTATCCACCTTGGAGAGACGCCCCGCGTGACTCTCGAGGGTTACCTTGTCCAATGCAGCCCAAGGATTTAGGGCCGGACGAGAAGTGGCGAGTCATACCCGCCACAGACAAGCAGATACAAGACACCATGGAGCAGATCAATATTCTCGGGAATGGTCAGCTGGACGAAGCCATGGTGCTCCACTGGAACTAGAACCGTTCTAGTTCGTTCTAGTAGGCCCCGAGGCCCCGCGGCCGCCGCCGCCGGCAGAACCCCACCCAGAACCCCCCCCTGCGCTGGAGGGGACCCCAAGGGACCCGAAACACCCCCGATAATTGTGGGTCGGCAGCTGGGGGCTTTACTCAGGCGCTGGGGGGGTGGGCGGGCTCCAAACTAGAACGCGTCAAGTTTCCCGCGGGCTGCAGCTCCTGAGGTGTTGCTTTTGTTATTTCATTGCCCGGCGGGTAATTACAATCATATCATTTTTGATACAATTGAAGGGGGGTGAGGCAATACTGCCATTTCCCCCAAGGGCGAGCTCCCGCTGGACGCCGAGGTGCTCGACACCCCCATGGCCTGCGTCTACGAGCGCAGCGGAAAGCTCAAGGCGCGTGGACGGCGCGCCGCGTCCGGGTGGGCAATATGTAATAAATTTGCATCCGTCTGATACACCAGCAATCGCTGCAAGCGATACTCAATCTAACCAGCGAGGAATTTCGTTGACTTCGCGAGGCCATCAACCAATACGGTCTCGCGGAGTGGTGCTTCCGTCTGTCGGACAAGAGTGAGATCGACAAGGCGCCCAACGGTCGCATCTCTCCTGGCTGCAACTCGGAATGCGGCCAGTAGGACTTCCCTGGCATCATCGGCGCATTGAAAGTTGGGCACTCTCTTACCACAACTGGAACAATGCCAGGGGGTAAGTCCATCAAGGACCGATTGAAGGACTTCCCGTGCGGACCCGGCCGTAACTGTTGGACCTTCCATAAGTGAGCCAATTGAATCAAAAACAAACACTCGACCAAACCCTACGCTGTCGAGTCCGCAAACCACCAGTGACATATGATGGGGGAAACCTCGCCGTGCATACATTGCCCCTGAGCATAGCTGCGCTGCCACCGAAGCATCCATTGATAATTTCGCACCCACGATATATCGTTCCGCCTCTGTTCGTACGTCATGGGTCATTGACTCACAGTCCGCAGCACAGCCTGAAGTACCCATGAGCACCACGTCAGAGAGAGGTACCACGCGGTCGAAGACCGATGAGGTTATCATCATACCGTGTAAGAACTGCGAGTCTGCCGCAATCAGAGCGAAGCCGTGACCACACGCTGCCGCCAGTGATCCACCGTTGTTTGCATATGGGCGGAATTTACCGTGCGCATTACGGGGAAGGGCTAGTACGAGAATGCACCACAACATAGCACAAGGTGCTGCGAACCGGCGCCCGGTTTCCACCGCCGAGCGACAGGGTTGCCCCGGAGTATATACTGTCTTCACCTGCGAATTTATCCTTGACATTGACGGGAGTTGCCACTCGATGATGAACACGGAGCGAACGGTCCCGCGACTCCGGCGGCGGCTCAAGCGGCGCAGAATGGCTACCCAGTCTCTCCGAGTTCCTGCGAAGAGACGGTGCGCCCCATTGATGGTGTCCTGAGACTTCTTACGCATCCTACGCGCGGCAGATCTGCAGATCGCCTCGACACTGACAGAGGCCGCGTGATGAGAATCGCGGGAGATTTGATGATTTCGCTCTTGGTCGCTCTTGGTCGCTCTTGGTCGCGTTCCGCGACGAGGGCATCAAGATCTTCTACTCCATCTTCCTCGCGCTGTTCGTCGTCAAGGCCTGGCAATCAAAGATAATCTCGTGCTGCGGCGCGTACGGCCCTATTCCGCGGCCCCCGCCGCCGCCCCGACCCCCCGGGCGTCGCCCCTAGTGCCCTAGGCTCGGGCCGCTGCGTTTTGGCGCGCCGCGAAACGGTTCGCGACGCGCTCTGGACGTCGGAGCCAAAGCACGATTTCAGCGGCGCAGTCGCTTGGACGGCCTCAACGAATTGGCATCGCTGCGGCGCGGGGCACCGGTTGGCCCAGGCCGAGACATACCATCACCGAAGGCATCGCTGCAGCGG